TACCATAAACCTTGAATAACACCGTGGTACCCAAACAAAGTGCTGCTAGTGATGCTGTAAGTGCTCCCAAAAAGCAGAGAAAAGTCATGACATTACAAGGAAAAGTTAAATTGCTTAATAAGTACTGTAGATTGAGATCTGCAGCTGTGGTTGCTGCCACTTCAGGCAGGGATTCATCTTGTAAGTAAAATAAAGAAACTTACAGTATTGATAAATAAGAACAATACTATGAATGTATTTTCTCTTCCTTATGGTTTTCTTAATGACATTTTCTTCTCTCTAGCTTACTTTATTTCAAGAAGACAGTACATAATACATATAACATACAAAATATGTGTTATTCAACTGTTTCTGTTATTGGCATGGCTTGCAGTCAACAGTAATTGACTGCTCAGGGGTCGATCCCCTTACTTCTGAGTCGTTCAAAGCTTAACTGTTTGTTTCTTTGAATCCCAAGAAAAATCAGCCAAGAAATCAGGAAATCAAAAGAAAGTATTACAATTCTGCAGGAATTAAAGTTTAGCAGTCAACATACCCTGATTCAAACCCGTTAACCCCGAAAAGCAATGGCAGGAAACACTGACAAATGGCGTCTAAAGTGAGCAGAAAAAGGAGCAGGCAGGAGAGAAGCAGTGAAGATCTAATCAGTCTGGCTGGTGATGGCGGCCATGTTGCATGTGGTATTCACAGTCCCATCTTCTGGTAATGATGAGTCATTCTTGCAAGTAAAATAAATATTGATTACATGATATGCATAATAAATAAAATTCTATGAGTGATGTTCTAAGAAATTAGTTTTAGAAGCAAAATAAGTCCTCAAACTGGCAATTTGTTTAAGTGATGCTGAGCAGTGCTGTTAACCTTGCTAGGAGATCTGAACGTTATGTTATTAGAATACTACCCAACAATGTTGTGGCATTTTCCAGTGTTTATATTCATTATAAGCTACAGTTCTAATTATTTCAACAAAAGAAATACAAAGAGAAAAATATGTGATTGTTGTAAAATACTTCCAACATAACATCTGAACTGACCTAAAAATCTGAGTTAACAAAAGTCATACCTGTTTCAATAGCATAACCAAAGTCAGGGCAACCAGACAAAATATTTTCATTGTTACAAAAGTTACTGGACTGGATTTAGTACAATTTAGGTTTTTGTGAAATACTGACAACATTTAAAAGAATTTTATATCAATAGCTTTTGAGGTATAAATTTTTTTCGTTGCATGGATGAATAATGTAGTGGTGACTTCTGAGATTTTAGTGCACCTGTCACCCAAGTAGTGTACATTGTACCTAATATGTAGTTATTTATCTCTAACCCCATTCCCATTATACCACTCCATTATACCACTCTGTATGTCTTCGTGTACTCAAAGCTTAGCTTCCACTTACAAGCGAGAACATACAGCTTTTGGTTTCCCACTCCTGAGTTACTTCACTCAGAATAATGGCCTCCAGCTCCATCTAAGTTGCTGCCAAAGACATTTTTTTATTCCTTTTAATGGCTGACTGGTATTCTGTGGTGTATATATGCCATATTTTCTTTATCTACTCATTGGTTGATGGGCACTTAGGTTGGTTCCACATCTTTGCAATTGTGAATTGTGCTGCTATAAACATGTGTGCAAGTGTCTTTTTCATATAATGACTTATTTTCCTTTGGGTACATCCAGTAGTGGGATTGCTGGATCAAATGGTCAATCTACTTTTAGTTCTTTAAAGAATCTCCGTACTGTTTTCTATAGAGGTTGTATTAATTTACATTCCCACCAGCAGTGAACAAGCATTCCCTTTTCCCCACATCCATGCCGACATCTATTGTTTTTTTGACTTTTTAATAATGACCATTCTTACAGGGGTAAGGTAGTAACTCATTGTGGTTTTAATTTGCATTTCCCTGATGATTAATAACGTTGAGCATTTTCCATATGTTTGTTGGCCATTTGTGTATATATATATATATATATATATATATATATATATTTTTTTTTTTTTTTTTTTTTTTTTTTTTTTTTGAGACGGAGTCTCACTCTGTCACCCAGGCTGGAGTGCAGTGGCGCGATCTCCACTCACTGCAAGCTCCGCCTCCCGGGTTCATGCCATTCTCCTGCCTCAGCCTCCCAAGTAGCTGGGACTACAGACACCCACCACCGCGCCCGCCTAATTTTTGCATTTTTAGTAGAGACGGGGTTTCACCATGTTAGTCAGGATGGTCTCGATCTCCTGACCTCGTGATCCACTTGTCTCGGCCTCCCAAAGTGCTGGGATTACAGGCGTGAGCCACTGCACCCGGCCTGTATATCTTCTTTTGAGAAATGTCTGCGCATGTCCTTTGCCCACTTTTGGATGGGATTTTTTTTTCTTGCTAATTTGTTTGGGTTCCTTGTAGATTCTCAACACTAGCCCTTTGTGGGATGCATAGGTTAAAAATATTTTATTCCGGCCGGGCGCGGTGGCTCACGCCTGTAATCCCAGCACTTTGGGAGGCCGAGGTGGGCGGATCACAAGGTCAGGAGATCGAGACCACGGTGAAACCCCGTCTCTACTAAAAATACAAAAAATTAGCCGGGCGCGGTTGTGGGCGCCTGTAGTCCCAGCTACTCGGGAGGCTGAGGCAGGAGAATGGCGTGAACCCGGGAGGCGGAGCTTGCAGTGAGCCGAGATGGCGCCACTGCACTCCAGCCTGGGCTGGGCGACAGAGCGAGACTCCGTCTCAAAAAAAAAAAAAAAAAAAAAAATTTTATTCCACTCTGTGGGTTGTCTGTTTACTCTGATTATTATTTCTTTTGCTATGAAGATTTTTAGTTTAATTAGGTTCCATTTATTTATTTTTGTTTTTGTTGAATTTGCTTTTTAGGTCTTAATCATGAATACTTTGCCAAGGCTGATGTCTAAAAGAGTTTTTACAATGTTGTCTTCTAGAATTTTTATGGTTTCAGGTCTTATATTTAAGTCTTTTATTCATCTTGAGTTGATATTTGTATAAGATGAGATAGGGATCCAGTTTCATTCTTCTACATGTGGCTCGTCAGTTTCCCCAGCATCGTTTATTAAATAGGATGTCCATTTCCCAATTGATGTTTTTCTATGCTTTGTCAAAGATCGGTTGGCTGCATGTATTTGGGTTTATTCTGGGTTCTCTATTCTGTTTTATTGGTCTGTGTGCCTATTTTTATACCAGTACCATGCTGTTTTGGTAACTGCAGCTTCATAGCATAATTTGAAGCTCGGTAATGTGATGCCTCCAAATTTGTCAGGCCTCTGAGCCCAAGCCAAGCCATTGCATCCCCTGTGACTTGCATGTCCACATCCCCTGTGACTTGCAGATATAGGCCCAGATGGCCTGAAGTAACTGAAGAATCACAAAAGAAGTGAAAAATACACTGCCCCGCCTTAACTGATGACATTCCACCACAAAAGAAGTGAAAATGGCCAGTCTTTGCCTTAAGCGATGACATTATCTTGTGAAATTCTTTTTCCTGGCTCATCCTGGCTCAAAAATCTCCCCCACTGAGCACCTTGTAACCCCCACTCCTGCCCACCAGAGAACAACCCCCCTTTGACTGGAACTTTCCTTTACCTACCCAAATCCTATAAAACGGCCCCACCCTTATCTCCCTTCACTGACTCTCTTTTCGGACTCAGCCCGCCTGCACCCAGGTGATTAAAAAACTTTATTGCTCACACAAAGCCTGTTTGGTGGTCTCTTCACAGGGACGCGCATGACAAGGCTTGTTCTTTTTGCTTAGGATTGCTTTGGCTATTGGGGCTCTTTTTTTGTTCCATATGAATTTTAGAATTGTTTTTTTCTAATTCTGTGAAAAATGATGTTGGTATTTGACAATTTTTTTTACATTAGCACCAAAATACTGATTGATCCATTAAAATACATTAATTCCTGATATGATTCAGACACAGTGCTAACTCCTAATACTAAGATGAACAAAATTATTCTTTCCCTCACTCTCCTCCAGCCACATGAACCTCCCTGTGGCTCTTCTACAAGTCAAGAACAATCCAACATATTACCATTTTAGTATCCTTGCACTTGTTATTCCCTCTTTCTGGAACACTCTGCCCCAAGATATACACAGTTTGCCCTCATCTCTTTCAGGTCTTTGCTCAAATGTCACATTAATAAAAACTTCCTTGACAACCCTATTAAAAACTTGCAACACCACTCCCACCAACACTCCCTAGTCTACTTCTTTAGCACTCGTTTCATCTAATACATGGTAGCTTTTACTCATTTATTACATCTAATCTATATAAGTTTCACGAGGGAAGGGATTTTTGTCTGTTTTTATTGCTGCTATACTCTCCAGAGTTGACACATAGCTAAATATTTTCTTTTCTTTTCTTTTTTTTTGAGATGGGGTCTAACTGTCACCCAGGCTGGAGTGCAGTGGCACGATCTTGGCTTGCTGCTGATATGGCTCCAACGAGTGGAGAAACACCTGGGTTGTTTGTCTCAAGTCAAATTAGATAAAACGGCACGGACACACCTGTAGTGGTTTTAAGGCGCAGAGAGTTTAATAGGCACGTAAGGAGGAAGAAGCTCTCCCATATACAGACGCGGGCGGGGGCCGGGGGTGGGGGGTGCTCCAAAGCCAAGAGAGAAAACCCCACCAGCGGTGGAAAAGTGGCTGCTTATATGAATAGACTGGAGGAGGTGGTGTCTGATTTGCATAGGGCTCAAGGGATTGGTTTGACCAGCCATGTCATTCATGGTAGCCTGAGGAAAAAACCGGCCCTCCCACTCTGGCCTTTTTTTTTTTTTTTTTGAGACGGAGTCTCGCGCTGTGTCACCCAGGCTGGAGTGCAGTGGCGCGATCTGGGCTCACTGCAAGCTCCGCCTCCCAGGTTCACGCCATTCTCCTGCCTCAGCCTCCGAGTAGCTGGGACTACAGGCGCCCGCCACCACGCCCGGCTAGTTTTTTGTATTTTTAGTAGAGACGGTGTTTCACCATGTTAGCCAGGATGGTCTCGATCTCCTGACCTCGTGATCCACCCGCCTCGGCCTCCCAAAGTGCTGGGATTACAGGCTTGAGCCACCGCGCCCGGCCCCACTCTGGCCTTTTAAGACGCAAATGCGGGGTGCCATGATGTTCTACACAGGTAGGGATATGTGGGGGCAGCCGTGTTACCAGGCACATGTTTGGGCAAGGGCAGGAATCGCCACGTTTGGGTGGACCCGGTTTCTAATGGCCTGTATTTGCGTATCAAAGGGTGCTGGCCTAGCTCTAAGAGCCAGGGCTTTCCTGCTAGACAAGAAATGTTTCTGGAGCTGCTTTAAAAGAAGTAACTTTACAACAACTCCTTTTCCTCTCTATCTGCCCAACATAATCTTAGTAACTCTTGTAACACTGCAACCTCCCCCTCCTGGACTCAAGCAATCCTCCTACCTCAGCCTCCCGAGGAGCTGGGACTACAAGCGTGCACCACCACGCCTGGGTAACTTTTGAATTTTGGTACAGATGGCGTTTCGCCATGTTGCCCAGGCTGGTCTCCAACTCCTGACCTCAAGTGATCTGCCCGCCTTGGCCTCCAAAGGGCTGGGATTACAGGCGTAACCCACTTCGGCCAGCCAGCTAAATCTTTATTGAATAAATAAATGAGTGAAGTGAGTGTATAAAAGACACAGTCGTTGTTCTTTTTTTTTTTTTTTTTTGAGACGGAGTCTCAGTCTGTCGCCCAGGATACTCCACCTCTGCTCCGCCTCCCGAGTTCACGCCATTCTCCTGCCTCATCCTCCGGAGTAGGTGGGACTACAGGCGCCCGCCACAACGCCCAGCTAATTTTTTTGGTATTTTTAGTAGAGACGGGGTTTCACCATATTAGCCAGGATGGTCTGGATCTTCTGACCTTGTGATCCGCCCGCCTGGGCCTTCCAAAGTGCTGGGATTACAGGCGTGAGCCAACGCGCCCGGCCGCAGTCGTTGTTCTTTAAGGGTTTATAGATAGTAAATTAATAAGGTCAATAAAATACTGCAAGTGATGCAGAAAAGGGCATGCCACGCAGAAGCTGCACGGGCAAAGGCGCAGTAGTAGTGCAAAAACAACAACCAGTGTTGCTTGTTTTCACTTGAAAATAAGATTCAATAAGCAAACAGCAGAAATGCAGTTAGCTGTTTTCCTCTCTTATCTAGCATACATTTATAATTGGGATGGGTGTTATATTCTTAACAGGATAAAACTTGCCTAACAAAGGCTGCCTTATTTTGCAAATATTTAAAATTTAAATAAAGAGGAGAGTTGTTATAAGTGTAAACAAATGTGAACCTGAAAGACCCAATCCTTCAAGATAAATCCAGAGCGGCTAACTCGGCCTAAATTTAAAATCAAGCCAAGCAGTCATTTGCTGACCATGTCATACATGTACCCTGAGTTCCCCAGAAATCCACACCTCTGTTCAACTCTGGCAGTTTCAGAGCTCACCCAAACAGACAACTTAGGGCCCACCTACCTCTGCCAATCAGGGCTCAGTTGTCAATCAATCGGAACTAAGCAAATTTGAATCATTCATTTTCCTAAACAGACTTGATTGGGAACCAGGGCAGGAACTTTATAAAAGCCAAACCCTCACTTTATTCTCTGACAGGCACCTTGGGTTCACGCTGGAAGCTGTATATTCCTGATTTGTAAACTGGTCACTAAAATAAAATCTCGCATTTTTACTGTGCTGAGTCAAATTGGCAGTATTCACCGAAGACATAATCTCCTAGGAAATCCATGACCTCTAATCCAACTCTTTAAGCACATTAGCAGGACTCTAGCATATAGGCAGATAAACAGGTAGAGATATTAGACAGCATTATCTAATTTGCATAATCTGGAAGTTCATTTGACAACCTTCAAATAAGATAATTACAGATTTTTATTAAATGCAAAAAAAGGGCCGGGCGCGGTGGCTCAAGCCTGTAATCCCAGCACTTTGGGAGGCCGAGACGGGCGGATCACAAGGTCAGGAGATCGAGACCAGCCTGGCTAAATACGGTGAAACCCCGTCTCTACTAAAAAATACAAAAAACTAGCCGGGCGAGGTGGCGGGCGCCTGTAGTCCCAGCTACTCGGGAGGCTGAGGCAGGAGAATGGCATAGACCCGGGAGGCGGAGCTTGCAGTGAGCTGAGATGCGGCCACTGCACTCCAGCCTGGGCGACAGAGCGAGACTCCGTCTCTAAAAAAAAAAAAAAAAAGCAAAAAAAGGAATCACAACAAAAAAACCAGAGTCTTGACCTTGGAGTCTTTGTGAATCTGTATAATGAGCAAAATTTAATGAAAACAATCACATCTTCAAGTTCTCAGAAATAGGTATTTCCTACTAAAAATTAAGAAGAAGAAATGGGCCAGGCATGGTGGCTCATGCCTATAATCCCAGCACTGTGGGAGGCCAAGGTGGGTGAATTGCTTGAGTCCAGGAGTTCAAGACCAGCCTGAGAAACATATCGCTACCCTGTCTCTACAAAAAATACAAAAATTAGCTGGGCGTGGTGGGATGCACCTGTGGTCCCAGCTACTCTGGAGGCTGAGGTGGGAGGATTTCTTGAGCCCAGGAGGTGGAGGCTGCAGTGAGCTGTGATTGTGCCACTGCACTCCAGCCTGGGTGACAGGTTTCAAGGAGGAGGAGGAGAAAAAGGAGGAGGAGGAAGAGGAGGAGAAGGAGGAGGACGAGGAGGAGAAAATGTCATTAATTTTGAAACCCCCTGGGCAGAGGCCATTTGATGATGATGGACAACTTAAGAGGCTGTTTGATGATGATGGGCCACCCAGCATGAATAAGAAAGACTTCTGAGGAATGTGTTTGTGGGTTTACAGACTGACTTTAGAGATGTTATTTATCATTACATGATACAAATATAGAGGCAAATCAAATGCCACAAAGCAAAATAGGATTAGATCATAAAAGCCTAGCATACTCTTAGACACCAGTCCTGAAGAGGTTCCATTGTGCTTGATAAGTATGGAACCACTGAGGAAGGCAAATTTGGTGGACTCAATTAAGGACATAGTGGCTAGCTGACTTCTGCCAACATTTGTAACATTTTTGTTGTTGAAAATACAGTAGCTATTATATTAAATGTGCTCAGTGTGTATTTATTAGTAAATATATTTTTAAATGTTCATATCATTTTGACTTTCTAAAAATTGATCAACAATAACTTATTAAATGCTGACACTAATCTTTCAGGTAATGTAATACAGTAAAAAGTACACAGACTGGGGAGTCTGATGTCATCCTTGCCATTAAGTAACTTAAATTTTAGTCGGAGAAACAAAATTAGTGCTCAGGAAACTATTAGAAAGTCCAACAAGACAATAAAATTAAGTACTAAGTTTTGTGGTACATACTGAAGTTAAATAATAATAGGATTTTTTAAGCTGGATATCCTCTCCATAAAAAGTTCTCTGCTGAACCCCATTATTTTCCAGAAGAGGCCCCTTAAATATTAGGCGACTTGCCTTAGGCCTTACATTTAGGTGAGTGTCCAAGTGGATCTAATTCCCAGGTCTTCTAAGGAGTGTGGGCCTTTTATGTCTACTAAAACACATTCTGCTCCATTGGCAGAAGGTGCTATTGAACTATTTGCAGGTGCATTTGAAGTAAAGTTTCTTTTGTTTGTTTTTTTTGTTTTTGAGATGGGATCTCATTCTGTCATCCAGGCTGGAGTGTAGTGACCGGCTCAAAGCTCAATGTAACTTTGAACTCCTGGCCTCAAACGATGCTCCCGCCTCAGTCACGCAAAGCACTGGGATTACAGGCATGAGCCACTGAGCCTGGCCTGAAGTAAAGATCTTTAAGGAAAGTATCCCTGAACTTGAAGCTAAGAAACATTTTTTAATCAATTTCTGCAATATTTTTCTGGTTTCACTTACTGGTTTGAAGAATAAAGGGTCTCCGTAAGACATAACATAATATCTAATTTTATATTGTGCTTTCATAAAATATAATTTCTTTGCATGAAAAATGAGTCCTGAGGGTTTGAATTCCACTCTGGGTGGTTCAGGATTCCGGACATCCATCGTCTCCTGGGCACTGCCCGAGTGCAAGTGGAATATACATATTGACCAGATGATGGCGGCATGGAGCTAGGTTTGGGTTCCGCCCGTGTAACGGGCTAGCTGGATTATCTTTGTTCTTTGGGTCCTTAGACTTGGCAAAGAGAGGCGTTGCCGTTGTATGACACAGTAAATGGAACAAATTGTTTATGTAATTATATCTTTATTTTAAACAGCAGTCAAATCCTAATTTTGTTTCTTCTTCGGACTTAGAACTCACGAACTGACAGTAAAGAGGAAAACAGACTTTAAGATGTGCTTGATTTAAAAAAAAAAATGCTCTGACAAGTCCACTTACTATTCTGAATGTTGCAACAATGAGAAATAAAGGTCATACGGTGTAGACTGAGATCAACTTAGCTCTGAACCTACATCATTACCCCCTTTGGATTGTTGTTTTCGCTTTTGTTTGGATTTTCTTTCCTTATGTGTAAATTAACATTTTTACCATTCCCCAGTTCCTGTGCCTCCCCCTCTTCTCCCAGATATTTTGGGGAACTTTAAATTTAAAATTGACATTCTAAGATATGCAAAGAAGATGAAATGTTTAGCATGTATATGTTAACACCTGTTTACTAAAGTTTAAAAACTGCAAATGGGCCGGGCGCGGTGGCTCACGCCTGTAATCCCAGCACTTTGGGAGGCCGAGGCGGGCGGATCACAAGGTCAGGAGATCGAGACCACGGTGAAACCCCGTCTCTACTAAAAATACAAAAAATTAGCTGCGCGCGCCTGTAGTCCCAGCTACTCAGGAGGCTGAGGCAGGAGAATGGCGTGAACTCGGGAGGCGAAGCTTGCAGTGAGCCGAGATCGCGCCACTGTATTCCAGCCTGGGGGACACAGCGAGACTCCGTCTCAAAAAAAAAAAAAAAAAAAAAAAAAAAAAAAAAAAAAAAAAAAAAAAAAACTGCAAATGAAAATGTACTAAAAACTAAAATTTTTTATTTGGTAAATTTTCTTTAAGTTTGTATTCATCAAAATATCCCTTCTGGCCGGGCGCGGTGGCTCAAGCCTGTAATCCCAGCACTTTGGGAGGCCGAGACGGGTGGATCACGAGGTC